CCAAGAGCAAAAACCAAAAATTATTCAAAAAGTGAGAGTTCTAAAACATAGTTGCGAGCATCTTCAGATCAAAACAAGCACGTGGTTCTATTCCTTGCCACACCCTGAAGCTAAAGCAACCTTTGCCAAGTCCTGAGGCTCATACCGCGCTGTAAGTTCTTCCCAGGTCCCCCATAATTCTCATATCATTTTGTTAACGCGTTCTTGTGCAGTTTCTCAAGTAGTTTCCACCATAAGCCTCACCCATCCAACAAGCCAAGTGTCATTGGAGGCAGATCTAAAGGCCCAGAACGCAAGAGTACTATGCTCTGGAGTCAGCGCATGCGCAGGCAACCGAAAAAAGTCAAATAAGGCTTCTTGTTGTTGGGCCAAAATTACTTCAAAAAACCTCCATGAAGGCCATCTCACCCCCTTGGGTTTTCTTACCTTTTTCTTATTTTATTTTGTTTTGTCATTTTCTTTTCTTTTATTTATTTGCCTTATTTTTTTTATTAACATAATTAACCAACTAATATTTTCATAAAAAAATCAAAAAAAATAGAATTAACATTATTACTATTTTATTTTGTAAATAAATATTAACAAATAAATAGTTTAATTAGGCAATTTCAATTACTTTTCTTAATAATTAAAATGGATTTAGAATTAGGAAGAATTAACTTTTAGTTTTATTTCTTTTCATTTTATTTCATAAAAACATAAAACACAAAAAATCTATTTTCTTTTAATTAAATTAATTAATTAGCTTTAATTTCATTTTAATTACAAAAAAGACCAAAAAAATCAATTTCTTTTCTTAAAAGGGTCAACACCCTTAGAACATTCCGATTTAATTTTTATTCGCGCACAGTTTATTATTATGTAATTGCTTCCAAGACATGTAATAGTAATTAGGACTTTTACTGTTTTTATTTACTTTCCGTACTCATTTACTAAAAAACGGGTCTTTGTAATTTTTGGCGATGTATAGACCCGCGCCTTGTAATAGCGTAGGATTTATGTTTCCGCAATTTACTTTCCGCACCCCTTAACTGCTAAACTTGCATGAAAGAATGTATGTAAATAAAAACAACTCGTAGCTCACTAGTTACAAAGACAAACATAACATGAAAACAACACACAATGCACACACCACTTCTAGGGTACGCCTCACTCGTTGCCTTCGAAACGTGGTTGTCAAGTATAGGACGTCTTAGCGGTCCTTATGTCCATGATCCAGTTGCCTCGAAACAGTTGCCTCGGAACAGTTGCCTTGAAACAGTTGCCTCGGAACAGTTGCCTCGAAACGGTTGCCTCGGATTAAAAAGGGATCAAGGACATAAGGGTAGCTTCTAAGGTGTCCTACTGTTGCTTTGATGACCACACTGTCCCTACACTCGAATTGACCCGAACACCTCCAACGGTGGTGCTACCTACCTCTCAATGGTGGGATGGAACTACCTAAAGGACACTTACACAGCTTAATTCCATAGGGCAGGTAGATGACTCATAGATACTTGCTCTTTTCAAAAACAAACAAAATACTTTTCACACCTTACACTTTCAAAAAGTTTTCAAACAATACTTCATACACTCTTGAGGACTGATACAAGAGTTACCTAGAAGTTTTCAAATGAACTTTTTCAAAACCCACACTTGAAAAGCAAACAAATTTTGAAAACATAAGAGCAAGTACCTAAGAGCCCATGGATAACCATGGATAGAAAGGGTGCTAACACCTTCCCTTTCTATAAATCTACCTCCCGAACCGAGAAACGTTCTCATAAGGAATTTTGCTGTGCTTTTGTCCTGTCCATGTTGGAGAAAATAAAAGACGGTGGTGACTCTTGCTTCCGTGATATTTCGCGAACCAGTGTTAAACAGTCAGTTCTATTTCCACCGATCACAATGGTAAAGTAATGTAAAAAGACTTTCATTAAGTAAAAAGGGTGTTTCTAACGTACATTGCTCAGCTTTTATCCTTTCTCACGCAGTAGTTACTTGGATAATATTTGAGAGATTTAGTACAATAGGTTGAACACACTTAAAAATTACACAAGCTTCTTAATTTATACTAAAAGTAGGTAACCGTCGAGGGGACATTCTGCGCTAGGATGAAGACAAGTGTCTTCTGCATGCCTCTCGACCCATAGCTTTTTGCCACGTTGCCTTCCCTTAGACGCTGATGAAAACCACCTTTCCCTCCAATAATTCAAATTTCAAATGGTCTTCGTCCCATGTACCAAGGCGTGAACACTTTCCTTCAGTCAAACAACCTAAATATGCTTCAGTCGAATGAACCCTTGGTCGAAGACTCTTATCATAACTTAGATCATTTTTCCTAAGTTATCTCATGTGTCGAATCATACCTTCTGGTTTAGTTCATTCCAGTTGTTTGGTCCAAAAGATCAAATACAGTAAGTGTCGAATTTGAGAGCCAACAATTTCTTAAATATATAAATATTTATATTATTTTTTCAGTTCTTTAAAAAAAATCGAATATATAATAAATTTTGAAAATTATACATATTATTTTTTATATACATATACTATTTTTATAAATACTTATTACATACTATTTTTGTACATACATATTTATTATAAATATTATTTTTCAAAACATATTTATTATGGAAAGTGTACCCACAAATTGTACCCACAACTTGATTTTTTAAAATATACTCACAAATTGGAAAGTGTATCATGTTTTATTTAATTTGATAACCTGCTATTAAAAAAAGCAAGATTTATTACATCTATTATGTTTGATATGTATCACAAAATAATATATTTTTTAATATATATATGTATCACAAAATAATATATATATATATATATATATATATATATATATATATATATATATATATATATATATATATATATATATATATATATATATATATATATATATATATATATATATATATATATATATATATATATATATATATATATATATATATATATATATATATATATATATATATATATTAATTTAAAAAATATATATATTAATTTTGATATGTATCACAAAATATATATATTTATTTTTATTTTTTTTCAGTTATTTAAAAAAAAAAAAAAAAAAAATCAAATATCATATATATATATAAAATAATAAATTTTTTCAATTATTCTATATATTTATAATTTCAAAAAAAAAATTATTTTAAGTTTATAAATCAAATATCACAACAAATATATACACAAATATGTATAAATATATCACAAAACAAATATTTTTTAATAAGAACCTGAAATTGGTGAGCAAATTTCTTAAAGTTTCTTGAAATTTCTCCAAAATTTAGCTCCTTTTGAATATATCAATTAATACCTGAAAACATAAATTATATTACACAAACATTGAAAGTAAATTAAATACAAAACAAAATAATATAATATATTTATCTGAAATATTTGTGTGAAAATTGAAATTGAAATTTTAGGTTTAATTTGGAGAAAGAATGAGATGAGAAGACTGGTTAATTTGGAGAAGGAATGAGAAGAGAAGAAGAAGATATGAAACTGTTAAAATTATAACAAGCAATAAGTACTAAAGCGGTGGAAAGGTGCAAATTTTAGCGAGGGGCAGCCCCTGGGAATTAAAACGGTCAAATTTCGTGTGGGGTACCCCGTCGCTAATGTCTTTCTTGGAAACAGCCCCTGCACGCGCAGTTTGCACGCTGCCATGATTAGACAAAAGTTGTCTAGCTGGCGTGGGGTTGCCCCTCGCTATTGTCACGTTGACAATCAGCTTAGGGCTGCCCCTCGCTAAATGTAGGGATTTACGCGCCCATTTTTTTCCAGGAGTATGTCCCTCGCAAATTAATATTTTAAAATTCAAAATTTCTCTCTTTTAATTTTGTGAGGGGTAACCCCATGCAATTTGTTTTTTCCTGATCTGCATTTTGCGATGGCCTTTACCCCAAGCAACGTTGTTTTCTCTCTCAAGGGTTTAACCCCTGGCTAAAACCCTGGCTAAATTCAATCTTTTTTGTAGTGCACACAGTGTTTCTCAAATCCCACATAATAAAAAAAAATGTGATTCTCAATCACACAACACTTCATTGTTCACTCGTGTTTCTCGTATTTCTCAGTGGATTTCGAACCGGAACTCTAGATACCAATTATTGGTGAACAAATGAGAGATGAAAGACAAAAAGAATATTAAATGACAGTTACAAAATAAGGAGTAATGAATACATTGACCTACTTACTACTAAGTTATTTATACACAAATATTAAAGGATAATAAAATACTAAAATACTTTCTAACACACTAAATCAACCAAATATTTCTAAAATATAAATTATTTTCAACACGTAGTACAACGCATGATGATAAGTTTAATAGTTGGCATAATTTCATTTTTTTAGCACATGAAAGTAAAAGTTTGGTAATTAGTTGTTACTCGGAGAATATAAAATAATTCAACCCCTAAATTTGTGTATTACCATCTATTTTATTTAACTTGTTTTGGATTTACAATTCATCACTTTCTTTCTGTCTCATTCTATCCATCTGTCATGTTGTTGAATATAACTTTTACCATATTTCTTGACAACATCTGTCTTCCTTAGTTCCTATAGAAAATGGGACTGCTGATTTCTTGGCCATATTCATATATGTCTTAGTTGATTTTAGCAGCGGCTTGGTCGGCAGTCTCTTTCAATCTTAAATGTAATATTATTATTACATTGCATTGTGTTTTTTTTATAATTTTGCATTATGCATGATGTTGATTTACATTTTTGTTGTCTCTTTCTTTTCAGATGTTTCATTGATAAATATGATTGACGAATTTGCATGTTTTATACATTTAATATATTCTATTTGTTAATGAAGATGATGGACAATTTGAAAAACTCAATCATGCATTTCCTTTGTATATTATTATTATTATTATTATGATCATATGATTATAACGTTATGATGTTTTAATTGATTTTTTATTATATATTCTATTTTTTCCAGCTTATTGTAATTCTATAACAAAATCTTCAAACCTTGTTGGTGGATGGAAGCTGAAGGTGATAAAACATTGAATGTTCATCAACCACTACCTCCTCTATCAACAAAACAAGAACTTGAAAGCATCACATATAACATTTTTTTAGAAACTCAATCTCTTAAAGTAAACAACAACAACCCTATTACATCATCATCATCATCATCATCATCATCCCAAAACCCATTCTTAGTTGAGAGTGATGCAACCTCTAACAATATTACAAATAACATGGATAATGATAGTTCAAATACTAATGACGCGGATGGAAGTAAAACTACACCTTCTCCAACTTTTGAACTATCAAATAATGAACACAATGCCACTTCTATAGACACAAGCAATAATGAAAATCCAAATTTAGAGGTGGCCTCCCATGTATCTAGAGAATCGAGTGATGTAAGTTCTATAACCAATCATGAACATTGTAATGACATAGCAGGAGGAGACCACTCAGCATCCATTTCATCTGGTCAAACCCTAGAACATGGCATGAACAAAGGACCGGAAATACAAAACCCTCAAGTACAAGTGATGGAGCGTCCAAATGAATCGAACGCCACTTCCCCGTATGTTTTTCCATCTCATGTATTTTCTAGAAATAACACAAATGGCCCGGTAGAATGGAGCACTGCATCTAATGAGTCTTTGTTCAGCATTTACATGGGTAACATGAGTTTCTCTAGTGAATTAGCCTGTTTTAAATCTTGTGAAATGGATAAGCCAGGTGATGCAATCACATGTGATCAACCTAGTGCTTCACCGAATAATCAACCTCTAACACCTGTGAACAAATTCAATGATATAAGCCAAAGAACCGCTGAATTGCATGAAGAAGGAATGAAGGTAACCGAAGCAAAAGCTGCTGAAACAATGAGAGAAGTAATAATGGAAAGTAGTCGAACTACAGAGATTAAGGAAGGTAAAAAATCTAGTCCTCAGATTCCTTCAGATGGTAGCACCAAATCCTATGCGTTTCAAACGTGAGTATCTCTATTCTTGATAATAACAAATAGTGCAACCAACTTTTCCAGCTAATAATTTTTTTGGTTATTTATTGTGAAGATCGAAAGATAGAGATAGAAATGTTTCATCGAAGGGTGCTGGAGAAAAGCAAACACCCCAAAAGAAATCAGAACAAAATGAAAAAACAAAAGAAGTTGATGAGGAACCAAAGCCAAACACAAATGCAGCTCCAACTCCAAATAAATGGCTAAGTTGTTTCTCATGTTGTACATTCTGTCATTAGGACACAATAGGTGCTCATCAAATCATGGTCTCTTTCCCAAGTTATTTGGCATCTTTGTCATCACATCAAGTGTGTATTATATACATGTATTACAAAATAGTTTTAGCTTCTTAGTCTTTTTTTTTTTAGGGTCTTGTTCACTATTTTACTCCCGGTAGGAAAATTAGGAACGAAATTTCCAATTTACATTTTATAATAGATTGTTAGCATTATTGAATTTTCAATAGATTAACTAATGAATGACAGGTGACCGTTAGCATAATTAAATGATAATATTTAAGGTGTAGACATAAACACTTTACATAACACATACTTAAAGATATTGAACCTCAATCCCTATACGTATAACTATTGAACTTCAACCATAAAACACTTGTAGTTGCAAATAGTTCTATAGTATTGTTGAAATACAAATTGGCGTGTTGTCCTATAAATCTTCGAATAACATGCTTCGACATTAGCAATTGATACAAACACATTTACATTATTAATATAATATATATATATATTGTCAGCTTGAAGAAATGTACCAGAAATGAAAGAAGAAAATTCAAATGTGAGTAAAAAGTTATAAATAATTGATGACGCGAGTTACAAACTCCTTTATATGCAAACCTCTTGTGAACTAAGTGAGGAAAAAGAACAATAGCTAAATCTCCTAACCAAACTCAACTAACATAAGAAAATAACAGAATTAGTTCTGAAACTAATTGTCATAATATAATATTAAACTATTACATCCTTTTAAGTTAGATAATGTATACTACATAATTCTAACTTGTACAAAGAAATGTAAGAGTATGGACATACAAAACTTTGGTAAAAGCATCTGCTAGTTGAGAAGTAGTAGGAATAAGAAGTGTGAGATATTAGATTGAACTCTATTGAGTCGAAGGGTGGCTTTTTGTTCGACAGGATTTATGTATGTCGTCGAAGTATGTTCAAATGTTGGTATCGAAGACCTATATATTGTAGTCGAAGTGTGTTCTAGTATGTGGGTGTCGAAATGTTAAGGTTGTTAGTATTTTGAATTGGACCTGTTTGTTATGTCCAATTGTTTAAGTTGGCTTGCACCCTAAGTTAGCTTGTAATGAGTATTTGTGAAAAATCTCATTAGTTTAGTATGTTAGATTTATTATAAATAACATACTAGTCTCTTATCATTGCATACTGCAAATCCTAATTTAGGGTGAAAGGGTTATTTGTTATTCTTGTAACGTTTGTAATCTTGTTTGAAGAGAAAGTAAAGAATAGCAGTTAATAACCAATTCTTGTTGTTCTTAGTATTTTTCATTCTTTTATATCCTTGTGGGTTTCTTGCGTTGAAGAACCCTGGTATAATTTGTTTCAAAGGTATTGTGTTTCATAACAAACTGGTGTGTTGAGCGTGGAAAAGATACCTTCATCAAAGTATGAGATTAAAAAGTTCTTCGGAGTGAACGATTTCGGTCTGTGGCGCTTGAAGATGAAAGTCCTACTGGTTCAGCAAGATTGTTTGAAAGCGTTGAAGAGAGCAGCGGTCATGGATGTTGCGTTAACGGAAAAATAAATGACGACCATGATAGAAAAAGGGCACAACGCAATCTTGTTGAGCCTTGGTGATAAGGTTCTTCGACAGGTATCAAAGGAGACGACGACATTCGGGTTATGGATGAAACTTGAAAGTTTGTACATGACCAAATCGCTGGTAAATCGACTCTACCTGAAGCAAGCTTTGTATTCATTCAAGATGATTGAAGATAAAGTGTTGGCTGAGCAGTTGGATATATTTAACAAGCTGATTCTTAATCTTGAAAATATTGATTTGAAGATCGATGATGAAGATCAAGCGTTGTTGATGTTATGTGTTTTTCCCATAACATATGCTCACTTCAAAGGAACTCTCTTGTATGGAAGGGAGTCCCTGACCTTTGAAGAAGTTCAATCAGCCTTGTATTCTAAGGACTTGAACGAACGAAAGTATCATAAACCTTCAACGGTTGGTGAAGGTTTGGTCGTTAAGGAAAAATTCTTGCGAAAGGATGGTAAGTTCGACAAGAAGAAAAGTAAAAGTCAGCAGAAGTCTTATAGTGGGGGAGAATCTGGTATTCGATGTTATCATTGTAGAAAGAGGGTCACACAAGAAAGGTGTGCTCTGAACGCCTGAAAGATCATGGAGGTAAGGACAATGGCAACACAGCTATTGTTCAAGATGATTTTGATTCATCTGATGTTCTTGTGGTTTCGAGTAGCAACTCATCGAAGGAGTGAATTATGGATTCTGGGTGCACTTGGCACATGACTCTAAACAAAGACTTGTTCGAAGAGCCATGTGATCAAGATGGTGGATCTGTATTGCTGGGAAACAACAAAGCTTGCAAGATTGCATGTGTTGGATCTATGAGATTCAAGCTCCATGATGATTCAATAAATTTGTTGACTAAAGTCAGGTATGTACCTGATTTGAAGAGAAATCTGATTTCTCTTGGTGAACTCGACAAGAAAGGATATGTTTTCCAAGGAGGAAAAAGTATCCTAAGAGTCATGAAGAGGTCGAATAAAGTCTTGAGAGGCGTGAAGAAGCAAGGCTTGTATACTCTTGAGGCTGAAGTTGTAAGTGGTTCGAAAAATATTACATCTATGAAACCTTTGTTGAAGACAGAAATTTGTCACATGAGATTGGGCCATGTCAGTGAAAGGGGTTTGGTCAAATTAGGGAAACAAAATTTTCTTGGTGGAGACAAAGTCGAAAAGATGAAATTTTGTGAACCTTGTGTACTTGGAAAATCTTGTAAAGTGAAGTTCAACAAAGGCAAACAAAGAACACATGGATCCTTTGATTACATCCATGCTGATCTTTGGGGGCCTACAAGGTGTCCATCACATTCTGGAGCAAGGTATTTTCTATATGTAATAGATGATTATTCCATAAAGTTATGGATATTCATTCAGAAGACTAAGGATGAAACTTTTGAGAATTTCAAAATTTGGAAGACTCTGGTCGAAAATCAAATTGGCAAAAAGGTCAAGAGGTTGAGAACTGACAATGACCTTGAATTTTGCAATGAGCCTTTCAACAGATTTTGTGTTACCTCTGGTATTGCAAGGCACAGAACTACGGAAGGTACTACACATCAACAAGGTTTTGCTAAAAGGTTTAATTGAACTATTTTGGATAGAGTTAGATGCGTGTTGACTAGTACTGGGTTAAAGAAGGTGTTTTAGGCTGAGGCTGTTTCGACAGGTACATATATGATAAATAGATGTCCTTCGACTGCGTTAGATATGAAGACACCTGAAGAAGTTTGGTCGGGATATCCACTAGATCTCGAAAAAATGAGATTATTTGGCTACGTAGCATATGTTCACATTAGGCAAGACAAGGTCGAACCTAGATCTCTGAAATGCATGTTCATGGGATACCGTGAAAGCTTATAGGCTATGGTGCCTAAAGCCAAGTCACAAGAGGTGTATCACCAGTCGAGATGTAGTTTTCAATGAAGCTGAAATGGCTTTCAAGAAAACTGATGATGTTGATCGAAGTGCAGAAATATCTGACGAATATCTGGAACATGGAGAGATTCATGTTGAGGTGGAGCATGTTGATGCTGAATTTCGTATCCCAGATGAAGTCGAAGAAGAAGTAGAAGATGTTGAGAAAGTTGAGGAAATTGTCGATGACTACCTATTGGTAAGAGATAAGACGAGAAGAGTCGTCAAGCCACCTCATAGACTTGGGTATGCTGATCTTATATCTTATGCCTTAATCTCTACAAGTGAGGTTCTAGACGAAGAACCTAGAGACCATAAGGAAGTTATGAGAAGTTGAAATAAGACTGAATGGCTGAAGACCATGGATGATGAGATGAAATATCTTCATGATAACAACACTTGGGAACTGATCAAGAAACCTGCTGGAGCCAGGTTAGTCAGATGTAAATGGATTTTCAAAGTTAAGGAAGGAATCGAAGGAGCGGCGTCGAAAAGATACAAGGAAAGATTGGTTGCAAGGGGTTTCACTCAGAAAGAAGGTGTTGACTTCAATGATGTGTTTTCTCCTGTTATAAAGCATAGGTTCATTCGAATGTTTCTTGCCATGGTGGCACAGTTCGACCTTGAACTAGAATAAATGGATGTGAAGACTTCATTCTTGTATGGTGATCTAGATGAGACAATTCTGATGAGGTAACCTGAAGGGTATGTCGAAAAGGGAAAGGAAGATTATGTGTGAAAGTTGAATAGATCTTTATATGTGCTGAACAATCTCCTCGACAGTGGAATAGTATATTCGACAAGTTCATGGCACAAATAAGTTTCACTAGAAGTCAGTTTAACCACTGTGTTTACTTCAGATTTCGACCTGGTAATTTATTTGTTATTTGGTTGCTTTATGTTGATGATATTCTCATAGCAAGCAATAATATCGAAGATGTAATGAGGGTGAAGGTTGAACTCAATAAGGAGCTCTACATGAAGGATCTGGGAGCTACATCCAGGATTCTTGGGATTGACATTCGAAGAGATAGAAAGCAGTCAAAATTATACTTATCTAAAGAGGAATACCTACGGAAGATTCATGACAAGTTTGGTATGTCAAATTCAAAGCCTGTTGTGACTCCAACAAACCCTCAATTCAAGATGAGTATAGTTCAGTGTCCAGTACTGAGATCGAAAGAACTTATATGAATAATATCCCATATGCTAATATAGTAGGTTCTTTGATGTATGCTATGGTATGTACTAGACCCGACATAACATATGTATTAAGTCTTGTAAGTAGGTACATGGCGAATCCTGGAAAGGCTCATTGACAAGCATTGAAGTAGATTATAAGGTACAAAAATGGGTCTCTGAGCAGAGTCTTAATTATGGTGGAGCCTTGGGTGAAGATAGTAAAGAAGTAATCGAAGGATATGTCGACACTGATTATACAGGTTGTATGGATTCCAGAAAATCTATTTATAGGTATGTTTTCACTATGTTTGGTACAACAATTAGTTGGAAAGCAACACTTCAGAATA